TAGAAGCTACAGTTACACCCAGCAGACTAGAAAAAGGGAAATGCAAGAGCCATTTTATCTGGAGTGTGTAATTCTCAAAATGATTTAAAGCAGCACTTCTCAAACTATTGTTCATAGAAATTGCCTGAAGTGCTCATTAACATACAAATTCCTCATTAAAGGAAATACCTATGTCTGATTTGGATCCAGGTGGTCTTCTGGCCATATTTTTCAAGTACAACAGAGAAAAGAGTAATTCTTACATAATTGAGATTTATCAATACAACTTCACTACATACTCTAGTAATGATAAGAGAGACGTGAAGCAAGATCCATCAGAATGTTTATTTGGGAAATAAACCCATTTAAAAATGTTTCCTCTAGAGTTCAATTATTTGAAGAACCTACACTCTTTGGGGTATACAAGAAAAGGCAGTGAGAATTTAATTTTCTCTAGACTATGATTAATGACTTGAAATTCAAGAAGAAATAGGAGAAACAATATAAAGTTTAAGGTTAATTTTTTTCAAAACTACAGATTATCATATAATAAATAATCAAAATGGATACATCATTGTTGCCAGAGTGTGATGATTTGACATGAAAACCAGTTTGGAGGCATTCGTATTTGTACTGATCTAATTTGAGTATGGAACTATAAGCTCCTTGCTAAGAACCCATTTTGCAAATCTTGCCCAAACTGCAGATATGAGCTCAGAATGCACTTCTCCCACAAGCTCAAAAGAGGCCACAGCGTGAGCAGGTCCCATCTGCCAAGGGATTCCACCGCTTGCATGGAGGCACCAGCAGCCATTTCTCTAGTTTACGTTGGTGTGAAGCTTTCCAGCAGAATAAAAGGTTGGCATCTGGGATTAATTCTGCTTTGACAGAAACTTTCTCATGCTATATTTGCAGTGAGTCTAAGGGGGTGGTTAAAATAATTAAATGAGAAGGATCCATTTCTCAAAACTCCCAATCGGGTTCTCATAGATGTTTTATTACAAATATGTCTGTAACAGAGAAACGGAGCTTATTACTTATACTAATATGGGACTGACAAGGTACTATATAAGCAAATAAAGAAAAATCAGTTTAAGTGTGATATTTCTTACTAATCGTAACTGTGCACACAAGATTTTAAGATCTTTGAAATTCTCTTTATGAAACGACATGAAGAAAATGACTTTATTCCCAATGTCATTATTAATAGAATAACACATGTTAAAAGATGCACAGTTGCTATGATATAAGAATATACACATCAAGGGGTCAGGGATTTAGCTCAGTGGTTTCGCCGCCTGCTGCGTAAGCGCAAGGACCGGAGTTCGATCCCCGGTACCAAAAAAATAAACAAAATAAAATGTAATGCTTTAACAGCAAATAAACATATGAAAAAATGTTCAACATCACTGGTCATTTGAGAGATGCAGATGAAAGCAACACTCAGACTCCACCTCACCCCAGAAAGAATGGCTGCTATCATGAAATCAACCAGTAACAAATGCTAGCGGGGCTGTGCGGAGGAAAAAACCTGCTCCACTGCTGGTGGGAGTGTAGACTGGTGCAACCACTGTGGAAGTCAGTATGGAGATACCTCTAAGAACTAAGGCTAGAGTTCCCATTTGACCCAGCTATTCCCCTGCTGGGGATCTTCCCCAAAGAATTAAAAGAATCATACCACAGCGAAATATGCGCCCATGTTCATGGCGGCACAGTTTGTAATAGCTAAAATTTGGAAACAGTCCAGTTGCCCATCAACTGGAGACTGGATAAAGATGTGGCTTTTTTATACAGTGGTGTACTACTCAGCCATAAAGAATGAGAAACTAGAGCCATTTATGGCTAAATGGATGTATATTGAGGTGATACTCTTAAGTGAAATAAATAGGATACACATGTGTAAATACCAAATAGTTTCTCTGGTGTGAGAAACTGATAGTGTAAATAAGGATAAAAACATATAATAGATAATGTGAAATAGGAAGAAAAGGTTCAAAGGGGAAGTGGGAGGGGTAGGGGAAAGGGAAGAAGGGAAAGGAAAAAATATGAGAAAAGGAAAAAATGGAAGCAAAGTCTTTGTAAATAGGGAGGGCAGGGGAAGGGGGAAAAAATAAGAACCAAGGGCCGGGGATTTAGCTCAGTGGTTCTGCCCCCTGCCTCGAAAGCAGAAGGACCCGAGTTCGATCCCCGGTTCCAAAAAAGATGAATAAATAAGAACCAAGATATATCAATTAAAAGTACAAATTCTCAATGATGAATGTCATCATATTGTATGCCTAAAATGTACCAATAGGCCAGGGATTTAGCTCAGTGGTTCCAGGGCCTGCCATGCAAGTGCAAGGTCCCGAGTTCAATCCCCGGTACCAAAAAAATAAAATAAAATAAAATGTACCAATAAACTTAATGAATAAAAAAGCAATGCTTTAAAATTATGAAAAAATACTTTAAGATCATTCCCTATTCACAATAAAAGCATAGTTTTTAGCCCAGCTCTGGATTACAGGTAGTGAACACAAGCCAAAAGACCTTCTCAAGTCTTAACCTTCTCTTTTTCAGGTAATTAGTTAATCTTTATTTCTACATGCGAATTACTCTGAGCCTAAACAAGGCAGTGAAAAACGAGTGCTGTACTCTCTAGAGCGATCTATCTTCGTGTACCAATAATGTGAGGGAAGATGGAGACTCATTAATTAGGAGAAAAGACCCCTTGTTTATTTCAGCTTTAAGTCTCTGACCAGTTCTTAGACCTAATGATTATGTACTCAGGAATCTCAAAAAATGAAAATGTCGGGCCAGGGCTTTAGCTCAGTGGTTTCGCCGCGTGCTGCGCAAGCGTGAGGACCCAAGTTCCATCCCCGGTACCGAAAAAATAATAATAATGAAAATGTCCCAGCCTTCTCCCAAAAGCAAACTTTTTCTCCCTGTATATTTCAGGCCTCTTCAGCAAACAGTTCTTATTAAAAAATGAAATGCAATTTGGAGGTTGTGGATGACTTGAGTTTTCGAGGCCGTTACTTAAATAGAAATAGCTGCCTCTACTCATCTAAGATATGAATCACCCTCAATTAATCTTTGCTCGGAGACAATGGATTGGGTAACGTTTCTGACAGTGTTATTGTAAGTTCTCCTCTATAAAACAACGAGTATTGCTAAGTGTAGAAAAATATGTCCAAAATGCACAGTTGAGCTTCAAACTGTACACGAAAGGTTCTGCCCACTCACTTCCCTAAAGTCCACATCTCTTGATGGCATCACCTTGGGGGTTAAGGTTTCAACATAGGAATTTGGAGACAATGCAAACATTCAGGTCACACAGCACCGCACTTCTAGATGACATTAGTATTTGAATGCAATTCTCAGTAAAGTAGTTCACCTTTCCCAATCCCTTTAGGGCCTGAATAGAGCAGAGAGTGGGAGAAGAAGGAAAAATTCTCCTTTTTGTGCTTCCTACTGAGTGCTTGAGCCAGAGATATCAGTGTTCTGACCTTAGAGTGGGATTTACACCATTTCCAACTCAGCCGGGAATTATACCGTCTGCTTTCCTGGGTTTGCACTTTGTAGACAACGGATTATGAGACTTATCAGCCTCTGTATCCAAGTGAGCCAACCCCTGTGGGCTCTAGCATGGTGGGGGAGAGAAGAAGGCTTGAATCCCTGGGAGGAGAAATTCAGGTCCTTTGGGGATTCCCATCAGAATTTTTTGGTTTTTTAGTACTGGGTATTGAAACAAGAGCCTTGACCCTGAGCTACATCTCCAGTTCTTTAGATTTTTTTTTTTTTTAATTTTAAGACAGAGTCTCACCAAGCCACTAAGTTGACCAGGCTAAGCCTGAACTTGTGGTCTTCCTGGTTCAGACTTACAGAATGTCAGGCCAGAGATATTAAGGTGAAGCAGTCCTTCCTACAACAATGTTGGATTGTGAGAACAGAAAGGCAAGGTTTTTCCACAGCCCAGTGCAGCCCTCACTATGATACAGTGTACTCATCGGGTTTTCAACCAAGTCAGTTGTGATTTGTGTTCATCATTGCGTGAATATAGATTCATTGCAGCATGTATGGAAAACATGGCTTGAAATATTGTTTCATCAGTACTCTCCCGTGACCATATTCTATCCCACATTTGTCAGGCCTAAATTGTAAGTAGAGCTGTTTCTGATCAGCAAAATTAGCTCCCCTCCCTTTTGGGTTAACATGAAATGCAAAAGCTTTAACTTGAAGATAAGACTGATTGCTCTCTTGGAGTAAAAGCTTTCAACAGAAATCACAGTTAATTGAGAAAGTTTCCCTTGAGATACAAACCAAAGGGTGGGAAAAGGAACCAGTACAATGACAAAATCAGAGATTTAATCTTTTATCCTGAAAGGCAGCATAAATGCAATGATAATGACAATAATACAATTTACATTTAACTATCATAATTTTCTGTCATGATACTCCACAAATGTAAATCACATTATAGTATTTTTAAACTATTATGTATTTACTTGAAGTTCTAGGGATAAATACACAGCAACACACGTACTACGCAAGGATTTTACTACTGCGCTACACCCTTGGCCCTTATAACATTATTTTAGATGACTAAGGATGGAAGACTTCATTCATTTTTTTCACTGCTTAACAAATTTTATTATGAACAATTTTTCACATATCAATAATGTACTAGGCACGAAAAATACTATAGAAATGAATAAGACTGACATAGTGCTTACTTTCATGGAATTCACAGACTAAAAAGAAATTTTTAAAATGCTTTAATATAATGCAGTCTTTAATTCTCAACTCTTTGTCAGTAGAAGTCTATGCAGACATAGCCAGGGTATATAAACAGAATAACAAATTTTTAAGTCAGGATGCCACAGTTCTTGCCTCAATTCTACCACTGTCTCTAGGAGATAACACTTGGTATTTTAGGAAAAGGGAGGAATTTATTATAAATATGTGGTAGGCATGATATTTTTATTTTATTTTATTTTTGGTACCAGGGATTGAACTTGGGTTCTTGCGCTTGCAAGGCAGGCAGCGAAACCACTGAGCTAAATTCCCAGCGGCATGATATTTTTAAAAATGTAAGTATTCAAACAAACTTTTTCTCAAAACTTGACTTCTTTCCTCTCTACTCACCTCCCAATATTCTCAGTTTTTAATGATGGTCAGTGAAGATAATGAGAAGGAGAAACAAGAAATGGGAGACAGGTAAAAATGAAGAACAGTGAGACACAAATCCATGCATGTTGGCGTGAAAGGGGAAATTTTAAATTTGTAGATCCTAAGAAGGGGTAGAGAACAGGGAATCAGATGAAAATGGGGTAAATTAGGGCTGGCAAATTGAACAACCAACTTCACAGAATGTGTCAAAGATTATAAAATCCAGGGCTAAAAGGCTGAGTGAGATGCTTCCCAAAAAATAAGAGAAGACATGGAAGAACACTGGACTCAAAATAACTCTGGGTTTATGATTCCTGAATACATGGAACCAATCAGAAAGCAATATTCTCAATCCTTCATTTGACTCTTGTGCTATTCATAGGACCAATAAGAAGATGTTACTCCCAATCCTTCATTAACACATGACTAATCAAGACACTGTTTCTGATCTTTCATTTACATCTGATGAGAGGCTATGTGTGTTTTTAATAGGGCAATTATCCTAATGCAATATTTGCACAAGGGGAAGGTCAATCCAGGCATTTTAGATACTAAAGATCCTTTTTCCTTTATACTCAGGGGTGCTGTGAGCCTTTTAACCAGCCCATTCTCACCTATAGAGTTTACTTCTTTTCTGCCTTCAATAAAACTATACCTTTGCTGACTTTTTTATGTTTTGTCTATTTCTTTTTTCTTTTCTTTTTTTTTTTTTTGGTACTGGGGATCGAACTCAGGGACCTTGTGCTTGTGAAGCAGGTGGCAACACCACTGAGCTAAATCCCCAGTCCTGTTTTGTCTATTTCTTGGTTTGGGACACCAAGGACCTAGAGAAAAGCTCTCTGGAACCCTCATCTAGTAATAAAAGAGGCTTTTGAAAAAATGTTCCTACAGTTGTGTATTGAGATGCAATATGAGATTGAAATTCCTTTAAAATTACTTTTTATGGCTCCAGGAAGATGGTGGATGAGTAAGCAGCAACAAATCAGCCTTTCCCAGATTCAGAATCTAGACACTGGAAAATAGGGGAAGAAAGAAGGTAGGAGGTGGATTCTTGGGACCTAGAAAAGATCTGGTAGGAAAATTGGACCCTACAGAGAAATTGAAGAGACAGAAGACAATTTAGAAAATAGAAGAGGCCATCTGCACTTTCTCCTTGCCTTCTGGCTCCTGTCTCCTGGCTCATGGTTCATGACAAGGGAAGATCAAATCTACAGAGACACAATGAAAGTAGGCAACTCTAGAGGCCTTTGGGGAGAAAGGTACCAGTGGAATGGATCAGTGGATGCTGTGTGCTACAACAGCCAGTGAGTGACTCCAGTCTAAGTGTCTGCCACATCCCCTGGAGAGAGTAATCGGCTAGATACTATTCTTGAGAGAGGCCAACTGAACCTGGGATTCAGTGCATCCATGGGTTGGCTTCACCTCAGGGCTCCCAATGTTATATTCCCACAGGGACTGGGTAAAATCCAGCCACAGGAGACAACCATGGTCAGGGAGCTGTGGTCAGGCTGGCAGAGTGTTATAAGCTAACTGACTCAGGTTCCAACCTCATGACCAGAGGCTAGGTTCAGCCTGAATCTCCATGGATTTGAGAGTCGGAGAACTAACACCCCACCCTAATCTTACTGCTAGTTTGCTGGTGATTATCCAGCACAGATTTGGGCTCTGACTGCTTTCTTTGTCTACCAGCAAGAGCAGGAACATGTCTCACATTGGACATTGCCATAAAACTTTAGACCCCAGAAGATAACCAAAGGCTCAAAATCACAGAGGAAAAAAAAAATTCTTTTTATTTTTTATTTGGTTATACTTTTTGTTTGTTTTTGTTTCATTCTTGAGCATTGTTTTTAGGTTTTGTTTTGTTTTGTTTTTTTCTTTTTTTCTTCTTTTTTTCCCCTCCTGTTTTCTTCACCAGTTTCCTGAGGTTTGGGTAATCTTTCCTTGTCCTTCAGCCTTGCTTCTAATCTCTTTTTCTTCTTTTATTTCACTAGTTTTTCCTCTTCTCTCTTTAAATTTTCTCCCCTTAATTACCTCTCTTATCTTTACACTGTTTATAATTCTTTTTTTCTCTCTCTCTTTCTCTTATCTTGTATTTCTTGCCAGTTTTTTGTCCTTCACCTAATTTTATAGACATCCTTCTACTTCCCCACAAGATCCTTTGTACCACTTCTCTCCTCCTTTGAATATCATAAATTTTTAAGTTTCAAAGTTTTCCTCTTGCATTCCCCATTCCCAAAACCTAAACCTTTAATAGTATAACCATAAAACTTTGTTAATCTTTTGATAATTAACTCTGTAAAATTATTGTTGAATTATTTTCTACCATCAGCAGAGATATCTGTTGCTTTTAGTACATTTTAGCTATAAGTCAATACCTGGGTTGCCTTAATATTTACATCATAATTGCTGGTTTCTTTTCTAGGAGTAATGGTGGGGCATAGTTGGTTCTTATGGTATGTTAATCACTAATTTGCCCTGGGCAATACTACTGTAGCTGTATAGGATCATGTAATTGTCACTATTTCTCTGTAAGCCAGTACTCAGACTGCCTTGGTGACATTAACAATACTAGAGTACATTCCTAGAGAACTTGGTTGCTAGACTGACCACAATGCATCCTCCTCTCTCCATATAACCAAAGTGGTCAAATCTTGGTGTGGCAAAGAATTATAATTAGTCATGCCCAAGGTATATCACTAAAAAGCAACTAAAGAAATCTCTACATTAGCAACATCTTTAGACAATAACCATCCACAAAGCTCAGCATGAAATAAAACAAACAATAGAATCATGGGAAGAAAGGATAACAAAGAGCCTCCCTAAACCCTAACTCCCCCAAAGCCAATTCAAATGCCAACAAGGAGCAGAATAGTATAAGCCACACAATTGAATTGCTAGAAAGCATAGCAGAGGAGGTTAGAAAACAGATCAAAGAGATACTCAGCAGGATTAGAGAAGATATAACCAAAAAGATAATGGAAGTAATAACCAAAAAGATGCAGCAGCTCTCAGAAGACATTAATAGAAGGCTAAACAAGATAAACAAAATGAAACAAAACATGAATGATCAATTTAGCAAATAATTAGAGTCCATGAAAATGTTTCCATCAGAAATCCAAGATAGCCAGGGATTTAGCTTAGTGGCACCATGCCTGCCTCGAAAGGCAGTTCGATTCCTGGTACAAAAAAAGAGAAATCCAGGAGGGCCGGGGATTTAGCTTAGTGGTTCCGCCCCCTGCCTTGCAAGCATAAGGACCCAAGTTCGATCTGGGTACCAAAAAAACCAAACAAACAAAAAGAAACCCAAGAGATTACAAATTATACTGACAGTATAGGTAGCACAAGTAACCAATGTGAGGACAGAATTTCAGAACTAGAAGACAAAGATGTCTTCAAAGACAAGCTACTCAAAGACACCTGATAAACAAGAGAACATGAAAAATGGATCCAACAGCTGCTAGATGACACAAAAACTAATCTAAGGGTAATTGGAATAATATGTGATACATCAGAAGACAACACAAATGGCATAAAAAAAAGTTCACAGAAATAATGGCAGAAAACTTATTTATCATTTTGTTTAGCTCATTTAGCTTTTTATTAGTGTCTTCTGAAAGATTTTGGATCATTTTGGTTATTGCTCCCTTTATCTGTTTAGTTATATCTTCTATGATCTCACTGAGTATCTCTTTGATCTGTTTTCTAACCTCATCTATTATCCTTTTATTGAAGATAGGTAAGTTAGATATCTTGTAGGCAGTTAGTCAGGGCCAGCCCACAAGGTGCCAACATGGAGGACAGTGAAGACATGTTCACTGAAGGCCAGCATTGTAAAAGGAGAGGAAACTACCACACCCATGTAGGATGAATAGCAGTGACTGATATTCTAAACAGGTATCAGTCACCTGGGTGGGGGGGTCAAGATCTTCCAGGAAAGATCCTGACCCATCCCTTACCACCGAAAATCCTTGCTCATTCTTACACTTGCTTGCTACTTGACTGGTTTCCCCACTGGCTCCCCGTTTAATCAATATTACCTAAGCAACTGTACTTGTAATCTTACTAGTTGACTAGTTTTGACCTACCATGAAACCACCTCACCTCATGGCTTTGTCCCATAAAACACCTTTGAGAAGTTGGGTGAGCAGGCAACCCACTTTCTGGTCCCCCTTCTGTCTCTTGGACAGAAGCCTTCTCTCAATAAATTTTCCCTACTCTTTAACTTCCATTGTTCCTAGAACTCATTCTTTGATTTTAGAGAACACAAGCTCGCGTTTCGGATACCAAGCAGGTTTGGGAGTTGCATCTCTTTGTCCCATATCACTTCGAGTAACTTGGATGTGTGGTTTATGCTATTGTGCCCCTTGGTGCCCCCTAGATTGGCTTTGGGGGAGTTGGGGATTTGGGTAATGCATTTTGTTGCCTTGTGTCTATTGCTTTTTGTTTGGTTATTTGGTGACAAATAGAAGATAAAATAAAAGAAGAGGAAAAAAGAAACATTTATGTGGAGTAAAAATAAGAGCTAAAAAAATTAAGGAGAGAAAAAGTAAAAGGAAGAAGAGGCAAAAATAAGAAAAAAAAATGATAAGAACCAAGGAAGGACAATGGAAAATTCCTCAAATGCCAACAAACTGGTAAAGACAGGAGGAAAGGAAAGAAGAAAAAACAAAAACGTTAAAGCAATGCACACACTCACCAAAAAACTCCAAAATGAAACAAAGAAAAAACTTTCCCTGTGATTTTGAATGTGTGTTTTCCTCCAGGACCTACAATTCTGGGACAGTGTCTGAGTCAAGATGATTCCCTGCTCATGCTGGTAGATAAAGAAGGCATTCAGACCCCAGATTAGAGCGCTGGAAGCAGGAACCAGCAGGCAGTAGAATTAGGCCGAGGGCGCAGAGGCTGCAACTTGCAAATTCAGAGCATTTCAGGCTGGGTGTGGGGGCTGTGTCCTTTAGCTCAAACCCCTCAGGGGCTCCTTTTCCAGCCTGACAGGCTCCCTGACCTTGGCTATCTCTCTTCCCTTCTCTCACCCAGTCACGATGGGAACAGAACACTGAGAGCTCTGAATGGAAGCTGTTCTGCATCTGTTCTGATTCCTAATTCAAACAATTGACCCTTTTCCGGAATGGGATCCAACCAAACACTCTCTCTAGGAATATGGCAGGTGCTTGGACCACAGTCACTCACCAGGTTTTATCTGTTGAAGGACTCACATGAGAGCCGAATCCTGTGTTCTTCCTGCAGCTCAGGCCACCCACCAGTCCTCTCTGCTGCCTCATTTCTAGCTGAAGCCCTCTGGAATCCCCAGCTTTCACTTTGTCTCTGTAGGTTTGGTTTCCTTTTCCTGGGAACCAGCGAAAAAGTGCAGATTGTCCCATCCCTTCTCCTCATTGTGTTCTGTCTCTTCAGTCTCTCTGTAGGTTTTAATTTTCCTGAGAATCTAGTCAGTCTCGGTCTCTGTCTCTCTCTCCTTCCCCAAGCGGATAATTTCCAGTATGGGATTCTGAATCTCAGAGAGGCTGAGTTGTTATCATTTACCACTCTGCGACTTTCCCCAAAGTTCCTCCACTGGCCCATTTGTTAAAGAGGCTATCTTTCCTCCAGCAAATGTTTTTTTGATCCTTTTGTCAAGGATCAGACACCTGAATGTGCCTGGGGTTTTCCTGTCCCCTCTGTTCTGTTCTGTTGATCCATTTGTCTGCTTTTGTGCCAGTACCATGCTGCTTTTATCACTGTAGCTTTGCAATATTATTTGAAGTCTGCGACTGTGATGCCTCCTGCTGTGCTCTTGTTCCCCAGAATTGCAATAAGGTCTCTTTTGGTTCCACATGGACTTTAGGAATGTTTTCTCTACTTCTGTGAGGAACACTGTTGGCTTTTTTTTTTTCTTTGTCACTGGATTCATTTATTCCTCATAGATTTGATACCGGGGATCGAACTCAGGACCTTGTCCTTGCAAGGCAGGCGTGGTGCCACTGAGCTAAATTCCCCGCCTACCGTTGGTATTTTGATTAGGATTGGATTAAATATATATAATATATATATATAATATATATCTGGGCATTTTGATGATATTAGCTCTGCCTATACGGGAACAGGGAATGTCTTTCTATTGTCTAACGTTCACATCAATCTTTTTAGTTTCATTGTACAGGTCTTTCACTTCCCCGCCTACCGTTGGTATTTTGATTAGGATTGGATTAAATATATAATATATATATATATAATATATATCTGGGCATTTTGATGATATTAGCTCTGCCTATACGGGAACAGGGAATGTCTTTCTATTGTCTAACGTTCACATCAATCTTTTTAGTTTCATTGTACAGGTCTTTCACTTCTTTGGTTAGGCTAGTTCCTAAGTATTTAATTTTTCTTGATTCTATTCTGAGTGGTATTCTTTTCCTAATTTCTTTTTTGGTGAGTTTATGTTGGGTATACAGAAACATTATTGATTTTTGTGTATTGATTTTGTATCCTACTACATTGCTGAATTTGATTATTAATTTTAGGAGTATAGTGGTGGAATTTTTTAAGTCTTCTGTGTAAAGGATTGTGTCATCTGAAAATAATGATAATTTGACTTCTTCCTCTCTTATACAGATTTTTTTTATGTATTTCTTTTGCCTGATTGCTCTGACTAAACTTTCAAGTACTATATTGAATATTGTGGTGATAGTGGACATCCTCATCTTATTCCTGATTTTTGAGGGAAAGCTTTTAGCTCTTCCCCATTTAATATGATGTTGGCAGTAGGTTTGTTCTGAAATATGAAAAGATTTTTCATATGAAAAATTAATTTTCATATGAAAAATATGGAAGATTTTCACTTTTGTTTCATACTGTTTAAATGGTATTCTAATTAAGCTATAAAAGTAATTATATGTTTGTTTGAACAATTAATAAATTAAATGGATAAATTTGACTGGCATAATTATGCAATAAAGAAAATGTCAACCAAATCCACTATTCACAAGCAAATTTTCAACTTGAATTATGTGGAAATTGTCACATTCATCAACACAGACCTATAGGTAATTCAACGAGTAAGATCAAATGGTCAGAAAAGGTATAATAGATAATGTGAAATAGGAAACAAAGGGGGGAAGTGGGAGGGGTAGAGGAAAGGAAAGAAGGGAATGGAATTAATATGAGAAAATGAAAAAGTGGAAACAAAGCCTTTGTAAATAGGGAAGGGTGGAGGGCTTGAAAGGAGGGCAGGGGAAGGGGGAAAAAAAATAAGAACCAAGATGTATCATGTAAAGATACAAATTTCCAATGATGAATGTCATTATATTGTATACCTAAAAAGTACCAATAAAATTAATTTTAAAAAAGAAGCACATCAAATAGGGCTAGGGATTTAGCTCAGTGGTGCCACCACCTGCCTCATAAGCACAAGGTCCTGAGTTCAATCCTCGGTACCAAAAAAAAAAAAAAAAGGTCAGATCGTATTTATTGTTGATCATCATATTGCATCAAACATATTAAAACATATGGACATTTATCTACTGTAGAAATCTAGGTAGTACCTAGTCTACCATTTTAATACGTAAACTAGGATCATCCATGAAGTAAATTAACCTGGATAAGGTTTCAGGTCTCCTTGGTTACTGATAGAGGACATTTGTTAAATTATACCCATATTTGTCATTAAACCTGGATTAATATCCAAGCTATAGCATTTGCTAGCTGCATGACCTTTGGTGAGTTATTTGGCTTTTCTAGGCCTCAGTTTTCTTATCTGTAGAGTGGTGATGTCTTGAAGAGTTGCTCTGAGGACTAGTAAGAAAATGTGGATTCCACACAATGCCAAATACGTAGTAAATACTCAATAAATGGTAAATTTAATGTTGAAAATGTTTAGAAAAGATAAAGAATTAATTTGCCAATTTTCCTTCCTTGCTGTGAAAATTACTCTCTACTCAAAAGATGTACAAAAGCATATTCTAGTTTATGAAATTAAAAATTAATATTAGAATTTAAAAGTAGGCAAGTACAATGCTAAAAAATAGTCATTGACATTTATATTTTCCTTGCTTACCTTAGCAATGACTTTTATGACCTAGAGGCTGATTTTTCTATCTAAACATTTTCTATTTTGTCTCCATATATTAGTTATCCATTACAGTTTTAATATTTTATCTTTCTTTACATAACCCAAATATTCTTAAAAATCTATACTGAAATTAACAAGGTTTGGGTCACTTACCTATCAATTATTTCAAATGAATGTTAAAAGGTGTATTTGAGAAACATGTACTTGCTGGCTTGTTGGGGACAGGAGGGTGTCCTGGGGTGAGACTCAGTCACACGAGGCAAGAGCTCTACCACTGAGCTCTACCCCAAACTCCTTGCTGGCATTTTAAATCATTGTTTTTGTCCACCTGGCTTGTGGGAGGCACTTCTGTCTTCAGAAGCCTAAAAAGGCCACCTGATGGCAGCTCCCTCACAACAAAGGGGTGGGCACAGGAAGAAGGTGCAGTCCCATACCCCACTGCAGATTCATAATCAGCCACTGGGGCTAGGGATTTAGCTCAGTGGTGCTGCCACCTGCCTCACAAGCGCAAGGTCCCAAGTTTGATCCCCGTTACCAAAAAAACAAATTTTTAAAGTCAAGCACTTATGACACAGATGAGGAGGGTAGCAGAGAACCTACTTGGAGGCAGCAACCATTTGTTTTCTCAAATTAAAGCACTCCAAAAATAAATAATACATAGAGCATTAGAAACGAGGCTTATTTTTGTTTTGTTTTGTTTTTTCCCCTCCACCTCCATGGATTCAGTTATTGCTATAGTTTGGATCTTACTTGCTCTCCAAAGTTCCGTGTTTTCAAGGATTGGTTGTCATCCAAGACACTATTAGGACGTGGTGGGACCTTTCAGGGATGAGCCCTAGTAGAAGGAAGCTGGGTCACTGGGGCTGTGTGTTTGAAGGGGGAACTGGAGCTCTGGCTGCTTCCTGTCTCCTTCTTTGCTTTCCAGATGCCATGAAGTAAACAGGCCTCCTATGCCACACATTCTCACTGTGATGTACTGTGCCAGTACTGTGATGTACTTGACCGAAAGCAACAGGGCCAAGCAACCATGGACTGAAGCCTCTGAAACTGTGAGCCAAAATAAAGCTTTTTTCCTTTTAAATTGATTCTCTCCCATATTTTGTTATAATGATGGAAAACAGGCTAATATTGGTATCACACTGTAAGTTACCTCATGACTCAGGATGGCTACTCAAGAGGTGCCAGTCATCATATCCCACATTCCAAGGAACAGAAAAAAAGAGGTCAGGACAAAAGTTCTCTCTCTCTCTCTCTCTCTCTCTCTGTACTGGAAATTGAACCCAGGGCCTTCATACTGAGCTACATTCCCGGCCCTTTTTATTTATTTCTTTATATTTTTGAGACAAAAATCTCACTAAATTGCTAAATTTCTCAGGCTGGACTCAAACTTGTAACCCTCCAGCCTCAGCCTCCAGGAGTGCTGGAATCACAGGTATGCACCTCCACACCCAGCTGTTTCCTTTTTAGAAGCCCGCACAGAAACCATGTTAAGCACTTTGCCATAGAGGCACTCCTTATTGTAGGCTTTATTTCAGATGGAAATGAAAATGAAGTCTTTATTTCAGATGGAAAAATCTAGGTAAATTACGCAGCTCTGCTTTGAAGAAGGGGAAGAGGGATATGAAGAAGAAACTTGTTTCTCCCACTCCTTCATACATGGAAAGTCTTGTGCAAAGAAATTAGTTTATATTTATGCTCCTCACACCTCCTTTGCTGAGGATTCTCCCTCCTCTACTTCCCTGAAACTGTTCTGTCAAATTCACCAAGTTCCAAATTGCCAAAGCTAATTATGTACGTGCTTCCTTCTTCATCTTCTTTGATTCCTGAACTACATGTGGCCCCTTTCATCAGCCCTTCCTCCTGGGACTTGGGCCACACTCCCCTGCTTTCCGAGGACCTCCCTGCTGCCCTCTCTAACTGCTGGCTCCTCCTCTTTCCTCTCCTTTGACTTCACACTCCCTCCCAAAAAGGTGTGCAATCCAGATTCAAATATCATCCACACTCTAAAGACTGCTCATCATCTACACTTCGCAACTCAAACAAAAGCTGTCCAAAATGACACTCTTGATTTCTAAATTAAAAAAAGAAAACAACTGCTTCCAGGTATCCTAAGCTCTGTGCATGAATAACTACTCACATAGCAGTCTTGATTCTGACCCTTCTTTCAGTCCTACATGTTCAGTTCACAAGTACAGTCCCATAAGCTCACTTCTAAAACATATTCAGATATGCCCACTTCTTTCCACCTCCCGGGCTACTACCCACTTGCAAATCAGCTTCATTCTTCACCTGGACTGAAGAACTAATCACCTGCAACAGACTATTTGTGTCTGCCCCAAACATGGCGTTGAATTCCTAACTTCCACCAATGTGACAGCCTCAAGAGGTAGGGCCTTTGGGAGGTGTCTGGAGGCAGAGGCCCTATAAATGGGATTAGAGCCATCGAAAAGGGGGCTCTGGAGAAAGTATCCTTGGAAAGACACAGTGAGAAGTTGCCATCTGTGAAGCCGGAAGCAGCTCTCACCAGACACTGAACCTACTGATGCCTTGATCTTGAATTTACCAGCTTCCAGAACTATGAAAAGTACATTTCTGTTGTTTATAAACTTCACATATATATTATATAATTTAAAATTTCAAGTAAACTAAATTTCCATCAAAAGAAGAATGTTCAAATATATTTCTGGTATTGCAATAAATGGACCAAGAGCTAGGCATGGCGGCACATGCCTGGAGTCCCAGCTACTTGGGAGGCAGAGGTGGAAGGGCTATTGGAGTCCAGGAGTTCGAGGCCAGACTGGGCAACAGAGTGAGACCCCATCTAGTAAAAATTGAAAAGCTGGGCCAGGGATTTAGCTCAGTGGTTTCTCCGCCTGCTGTCCAAGCGCAAGGACCCGAGCTCAATCCCTGGTACAAAAAAAAAAAAAACTTAAAAAGTACAGTTAAATTTAATTAATGAAAGACTACTATTAAATTAGAATAAAATTGTAGATATAGTAAAATTGTGACTGTACAAGTTGTATGTGCATATGTGCCTATATACACAGCAGTGCGCTGGAGCTGACCTGTCTCAATGGAGGACACCAGGTGTTAAAATGGGAATTTTTTTTTTGGTACCAGGGATCAAACTCTAAAATGGGAATTTTACAAGGCAGTTGTTAAGCCTAGCTGCTATTTACTTGTTTATTTAATTTTTTGGAGACAGGGTCTCACTTTGTAGTGCAAGCCAGCCTTGAACTCACTATGTAGCCCAGGCTGCCCTCAAACTCGAAACGATCCTCCTTCCTCAGCCTCCCTAGTTCTGGGATTAACAGGCATGCACCACCACACCCAGCTAAGCTTAGCTGTTATTAAATAGTAAACAAGAACAAATTATATTATAAACACAAGCACTCTAACTTCACTTCCTACTTATTTTACTACGTCATTTATGCTGTTTAAATCACCTGTGTCTAGTGTGTCTGTGTACGTGTGCTTTACTGTGTCCTGGTATTGCAGATAGGTAAGTTAATTCGGTATCTTGTAGGCAGTTGGGGCCAGCCCATGAGGAGCCAACATGGACAGTCGAGGAGCCAACTGGAGAGGTCAATGAAGACACATTCAACAAAGGCCAGCATTGTAAGAGGAGAGAAACTACCACACCCATGTAGGATGAATAGCAGTGATCGATATTCTCAGTAGGTGTCAATCACCTGGGGAGGGGACCAAGATCTTCCTGGAAAGATCCCTGACCCATCCCTTACCACCAAAAATCCTTGCTCATTCCTTGTAAGCTTGCTACATGACTTATTTCCCCATTGGATCCCCATTTAATCAGTATTACCTAAGCAACTATACTTGTCATAATCTTATTGGTTGCTCATAGTTTTGTCCACCTTGTGATTTCTCTATATGCCTCACTTATCTGTATGTCAAGTTCTTTTCCCCTCCTTGGGAAGTTTTCTGCCATCACTTCTGTGAACAGTTTTTTATGTCATCTGCACTCTCTCCTCTTTCTTCATTGACTCCAATCAGTCTTATGTCATTCTTCTTTGCATCGTCTAGCAGCTGCTGGATTGATTTCTCATGTTCCTTTACAATTTTGAAGCAGTTTTTCTTTTCCTGGTCATTAATTGCAATCTTTTCTTCTGTATCTGAAATTCTATCCTCACATTGGTTCATTCTGCTGCGCAGACTTTCAGTGGAGTTTTTAATCTCCTGGAAATCTATTTGCATCTGTTTTATGGATTCCATTTGTTTCCTATGTTGGGATTCCATCATGTTCCTCAGGTCCTCTATTTTTTATCTGTGTCCTCCCTAGATTTATTAATCATGTCTTGCACCATGAGCAAATTCTTTGCTGTTATCTGAGTAATTATTTCTGATTTCATTTTTTCCAGATCCTCTTTTGTTGCCAGTTCAGAGAGCCCAAGTGGTTGAATATCAGATTGTTCCATCTCGTTTCCCTTTGGAGTTGTTGTAGGTAATCCAGAAGTCTGTTTCTGAGGCTTGTTTATATGTCTTCTCATTCCACGGGGCAGAGGGGTGCGTCTGGCACCCATGGGGCTCACCTTCTTTGCCCTAGGAGCTTGGGATGGCGGCGGGGGAGCCCACCTTGTGATTTCTCATCGGATCAAATATTACCTAAGCAACTGTACTTGCAATCTCACTAGTTGACTATAGTTTTGTCCCACCTTGAACCCACCTCACCATGTCATGGCTTTGTTCCATAAAACACCTTTGAGAAGTTGGGTGAGCGGGTAACCCACTTTCCAGTCCCCCTTCTGTCTCTCTTACACAGAAGCTATCTTTCTTTCAATAAATTTTTCCTATTCTTAACCTCCATTGTTCCTAGAATTCATTCTTCCCAATTTTAGAGAACCCAAACTCGCACTTTGGAAATCTAGCAAGTTTGGGAGTTCCATCTCTTCCCCCTCCATCACTGGCCCAATGCTGCATGTGTCTGCCCAGCTCCATCTTAGCTGTTGGATCCTAGTTTGAAATTTGCCAAGATAATGATATAGGGTACCAAATAAGCAAAATAGTCCAAACAAAGGAAATATTATAACTCCCAACCTGCTAGATATCCAAAACGCTGGTTCTCTAAAATCAAAGAATGAATTCTAGGAACAGTGGAGGTTAAGTGTAGGAAAAATTGGGCTGGGGATTTAGCTCAGTGGTTCTCCTGCCTGCTTCGCAAGCGCAAGTTCCCCAGTTTGATCCCCAGTACCACCGCCCCCCAAAAAAAGAGTAGGAAAAATTTATTGGGAGAAAGATAGCTTCTAAGGGAGACAGAAGGTGGACTGGAAGGTGGGTTGCCCATCCACCCCGCTTCTCAAAGGTGTATGGGGCAAAGCCATGAGGTGAGGTGGTTACAAAGTGGGATAGAACTATAAGATCCAATAGAAAATTACGAGGTAGGCATAAAGTGGGACAAAAGCATGATCAACCAATAAGATTACAAGTACAGGGCTGGGGATTTAGCTCAGTAGTTAGGCTGCCTGCCTTGCAAGCACAAGATCCTGAGTTAGATGCCCGGTACCAAAAAATAAAAAAAATAAATAAAAGTAGATCTGCCCAGGTAATATTGATTAAATGGAGATAAAATGGGGAAGCTAATCACATAGCAAGCATACATGGATTCCCCGGAAGGAATGGGCTAGCTGGGGATGGTTTGGTCCCCTATTAAGGTGGTTGAGATCTATTTAGAATATTCATCCGCAGGGGAAGCAGGTGGATGTAATAGTTTCTCTCTTTTTATAATGTTAACTTTCAGTGAATGTGCCTTAATTGTCTTCTATCCTGAAGGCCCAGCCTTGTCGTTACTAATTTAGCTGTTTTAAATAATAGGAGGGTTTAGATGCTGATAAATTCTACAAACTATTGTTGATTGGTTTTGCTTTCTTGGTTGTCTAGACAAGAAAATATGAGAGAATATGTTAAAAATAGATATAATTTTGATGATATGCTTATTCTCATTATATTTTGCACTTGATCTTAGCCAAAGGCCAGGAAGCGATTATTCTCATTATATTTTGAATGGCATAAAAAGATGAAATATTCTCCCAGCACTGGAAAACTATCATCCAAGTCAGCAAAACAATTGCTCTTCTCATTGACAAATGACCAAATTCTTCCAATAGCTTTTCCTTCTCTCACTCTTATGCATAAAAGCATCAGCCAGTGTCCACATTAGAATGCACACATCATGGGGCCAGGAATTTAGCTCAGTGGTTTCGCCACCTGCTGCGCAAGCTCAAGGACCTGAGTTCGATCCCTGGTACCAAAAAAAAGAATGCACACAGCAGAGCTAATGGTTAAACATTCAACAGCACCACACTTGCAATGCGTGTAAAACTGTAGATCAAGATTGTAAGGAAGCAATTAATAAATTAAAATTATAGGTAAAATACTCATTTTAAGTATTTCTATTTGTAATACTTTGAGGATAAAACAATTTTTAAAGTGCAAAAATATAATGAAAACATTTTTCAAAAGAAGTCACATCATGGTATAACTCTATTACCAATGAACTATTTGTCTCTTTCCTTACCCTTCCTTCCTTCCCTCCACAAATACACACTTTTGCCCTCCTGTGGGTAAAGCACTGATCTTATGAGCTTATACAACCTTGTGGAATCAGAAGTAATACAATTATGCCATCGAGTATTTTAAGTGTCAGTTTTATTAAATGCTATAAAAGTGAAGAACAAAGAACCCAGACTAGAAATACAGAGGACACCTTTTGAGAAGTGACCTTTAAGCCGGTACTGTATTAGAGCAGTTAGGCCAACAAGCTGAGTAGGAAAGAGCACCCCCAGAGGAGGCAACAGCGTAAGCAAAAGCCTAGACAAAATGAAAAGCGATGGGTATGTGGACCTATGGACAAGTCCATATGGCTGGAGTGGTAGAAAGTGCAGAGCTAGGAGGGAGTGGGGCCTGGGCTGGAGCCAAATTGCCCAGGGGTTTATAGACATTGGAAAAGACTTGTACACAAAGGTAATGAGACACCATCGCTGAATCTTAGCATTGCTTGCAGAATTGACAAAATGAAAATTAAGAGTCAAGTTAGCTCCACTAGGTTCCAGGTTCAAATTATAGAAAGTGATACAATCTAATCCTTTTGTTCTTTTGCCTTACCTTGTTCTTCATGATATTGAACATCAAATACAGGAAGATCAAAAGGTCTCAGACTCGTCAGATTTAGAGAATCTAAAGGAAATGATGTTATCAGAACCCTTTGGTTTGGACTCCGTAGATTTAACTAAAATTTGAGTTAGATTTAGATTTTGTTATTTAAGGTTCAGATATAATTAATTCAAATTACCCATTTCACATGGTCCACTCTCCTCCTAAGGTTTCTGCAGATTCCTGGGGACTTCAACTTACCTGGTCACTCTGGCACAGGACACTATTCTAGGCATATCTTGCACTCTGCCTGTACCAACCCTAGATTCCGCTTTGCCAGCCTTCCTTCCCTCCTTCCTTCCTCTCTTTCTCCTTCTCTTCCTTTTCTCCTTTTTTCCTCTCTCCCTATCCTAAAAGTCACAAGCTTATTCTGATACCTATATATTATCCAATGTTGCAAGGTTCATTGTTGTTTCTCCTTTTCCATATTTGCAAATCACCTTTCTTACAACAAAGAAGGGGGCTCCCATTATCCTTGATATATTTACCTATTTTCTCATGCCTGGAATGCATAGAAAATTGTTTCAGAATTGCTAAACCATACCCCCAAGAAAACAATCATGTATATTTTAAAATGAGACTGCAGCTCAGAATTGCTCAAATGTTTTGCTTGATTCAAAAACAGCAGAGCCAAAACTATACTTTTATTCTTCTGACTTCTCCTTCTACATCCTTCCCACTATTTCTGTTTTGTTCAGGATAGTGAAACAAAATAATGACTCTCAAATATTTTATTCCTACTTATAATTAATTAGGTACACTCTAGAGCAGTACTCAAGGGGTCAGAAACATAAGGGAGTATGAACAAAGTCGGTTTGGACTAGACTTTTTTGGACAAATTCTATACTTTAAACGAAAGAAACAATAGAATCAAAAGACATTTTAAAAATAACATCATTTGTACTGCATTGTTTTTAAAAAACTAGCCAATGAGATTAGGGAATTAGCTTTAACTAGATGGGTACAGATTACTGTGAGCTCATTTTGATATCTGCAAGCTGTTATCCACCCACTCACTCTCCTGAGAACTAGGCTAAGCAATCGGGTACAAAAGATCCCACTTCCCCAGATGGGGAGGCCGTTTCTTTGGTAGAGAATCATAGATTTAAGATTGCGAGATTTGAAATCTTGTGTGAAAGTTCTTAGCTAAGGTTGTCAACTAACATACTATAAAAATCCCTCTGCAGTTGCTAAAAGTGACAGTAATGGCAAAGCCCAGGTACAACCCAGCTTTAGCCCTATACGTATAAACAACCTAAAAACAGAAGTACAGTTGTTTTTTTGAGCAAGAGTACTTAGGTAAGAAACATGGCAATTAGAATGCATGCGGTAATTACAGATGTGCTAAAAGGGCATGGGTGTTATACTCCCCTATTATTGCTGGGTCTTGGAAGGAACCATTACGATACCGTGATAGTGAAACTGTTCATTAGAAGACATGTCATACCACACATTTTTGAAAAACAAAATGAAAAATCTTACTCTCTCCTCTCTGGAGGCAAGAGTAATAGGATTTTACCAACAATTTTAAAAATTAAAAAATATCAGGAATAGGAAGGGCAACTAACTATGTCTCCCTTTGTGTGCTTCTAGAGTATCGTCCTGCTGACAATCCTTTCCTAGGACTGCCTGTTGCCACCAGGAAAAAGATGCCACAGGTATGAGATAAAGAGGAGAAGCCAGTGAGTTACTGTTTCTAAAACAATCCATTGTCCTTGAGACCTTATTTTTCTAAAAAAGATTTTGAAGTGGACCCTCGGGGAATAAAGCTTTTATCTGAAGAGCATATAGAAAAAACCCCAGAATACTATAGTTTGCTCTGCATGGTGAGAGGTGATGAGGTTGGTGGATCATTGTCTCCAAGTTCAGTTTGTCTCCTCAGCCTATCCCCAAGGACATCAGGACATATGTTGGTGTCCAGAGAAACAGGCCTTGCTTGTCTTCATCTTAGCTTGGAAAAAGGGACACCTGAAGATTTCTACCCCAGTTTCCCATAGCATCAAGAAGATGCAGTGTGCTTAAATTTCATCCTTCCAGTGAGGGCTGGCCAGGTTCTAGCTCTCTGCATTAGCCTAAGACTACCTTTGCTGCCCTGAATTAGTTTTAAAGTAGCTCCTGCCAAAAAGTATGCATACAACACAAATGTCCATAGACAGATGAGGGACTCAACAAAATGTGATATACACATAAGAATATCATTCGGGCTTATAAAAAGGAAAACCACATGCTACAACATGGACAGACCTTGAAAACGTGCTCAGTAAAATAACCCAGTCACAAAAGAACAAACACTATATGATTCCACTTATTTGAGGTACCTGGAGTAGTCAAATCCCTAGAGACAAAAAGTAGATGGTGGTTATCAGGGGCAGGAAAGAGGGGGAAATGGGGAATTACTGTTTAATGGGTACAGTGTCAGTGTGGAATGATGGCGAAAGTTTTGGAGAGGAGTGGTAGTGTTACAGGAAAGCAACTCCCAACCTGTTAGGTGTGTAGGGTTTGTGTCTTATGTCACCAAAGAAAGGACTTGAGGACAAAGGAGGTAAAGAATAGGAAGATTTTATTAAGAGAAAGTCCCTGAGAGGCAGGAGGGGCCCTGAAAGTGAGGTTGTTTATCTAGAGGTTTTCTATATTGCAAAATCACATCATTACATCACAGGTTACCTTTGGTCAAACTGTGATAAACCTATAGGATTACAAGTACCGTCTCTTTGCTAATATTGATCTAATAGAGAAAAGAGGTATGTAGTAAGGGTGCATAGCAAGGAGAAGGACAAAGGGATTTCTGGAAGGGGTAGGAGCAAGGCCCAGAGCATTCTAATCTATCTGTGTGTTTGTTATGTTGTTTCTATGTGTTTGCTATATTGTTTGGGCTTATTGGACCAAATGATGCTGGCTCCAGTACAGCTTTGAGCTATCCTTTATCTGTGGGGAGGCTTGCCGGCCTGGTTTGCCTCCTCTCTGTTCTGATGCTGTCTTGGGCCCAGTCTTTTTCTAACTGCCTCTCAGTCTTTAGCTGACTTAGCTCTCTGCGCCAGTAGTTTTGGTTGTACAGCAGTGTAATACACTTAATGCCTCTGAATTGCACACTTCCCTATAAAAATGGTTAAAATGCTAAATCTTTTTTTTTTTAATGGTAAATCTTATACATACTGTGCCAGATTTTTTTTTTTTTTAAAAAAAGCTCTTGTAGTTTATGGGCTATAGTTACAAAATCTGAAGTGAGTTTCATTATATTATTTTTCACGATTTAATCATCAAATTTATGTTCTGAGTAAGACGCTAAGGAATAATGAGGCATAAGTAATTCTCCTCACCACCGATGCACAATCCTCAAACCCCCTTGTAGAAAATGTGGCCTCTGTTGAAATATGTTTATCCTTCTAAACCCAATGGAAATGACCTTCGAGATCAACCCACTGAGTTCACCCTAGGTAGCTGTTCCTCTCTGTGTGCTATGCCTAGGACAGGGGCCAATGTCACCTTCTGGTCTACCTCCTAAGACTAGCAAGCCTCTTTCCTGGCAGCTTTTGGCCCAGGGAAACCCCACCTATTGCACAACTCCTTCCCACAACTTCCACATCAGGAATAGTCTTTGCTTCTCTTTTACCCACACATCACTGTCACAGTGCTCCCTCGGCTCCTTAGGTGTGGTCACTCCGCAGCAGGCACTCGGAGAGTAGCCCAACCAGATGCTATTGGGATCACTGGGTCACTTTTGACCTACAAAAACAACTTCACATAATGAACCAACTATTATGCATAAATACTGATTATTTATCTTCATGTCTTCCATAGCCCCTCTATCTTTCAGGAGTAGGTGCTCAGTGACTAATGCACGAGAATCTCACGTGAGAGGCGCCCTGCACCAAGTGTGGAAGCGAGGTTGAGGGGGTGATTAGAGATCCTCAGAGAGGAGGAGGAGTGGACCACTAGTCACTGGGCTTATTTTCAAGCTGGAGAAGACCAGGGAGACTTGTGCTTTGCATAAACAACTGTAATCTTCACAACTACATGCTCATTATTACTGTCCCCATCTGACACGTCAGGAAACTGAAGCTTAGGGAACTCGGAAAACTTGCTCAAGTCACATGGCTAATACAGGACCCACTTACTAATCATTCCCCAAATTCTTTCTTTACATAATTCCAGTGAAGCTATTTTAGCCAATGAAAAATATTTTCTCTCTTTGAAATATAATATGGCTGGCCAAGTGATCATCGCAGATACACAAGCACTGTGCTCACCAGGGAATGAAAACATTGTGGTGTTTTGGGCTCCATGGGCAGCAGAACTGTAATTGAATGTTTATGCCCCATGAGTGGTTACAATGCATTGATGTGTTAGACTTCGGATTTGTATACTACAGATTTGGTTCCACCTGCTTCTCCCATGAAGATTCCCAGCCATTGGCCTATTCCAGAGTCCAGGTATGGAAGGGCCAGGCTTGAGCACAATCTTTATTTCACTCACAGTGGTAGCACCTACAACAGCCATAATACCTCTGCCTAACCTCCTGGATCCACAGAAGTTCCAGTAGTACATAGGTCATGAAATCCAGCTTTCCCAGTGGAGCCACTTAAATTCAGGTGCTATGGGTAAGAAGAGGAGTTCAAAGTAGTTCATTTAAAAGAAATTTGTTCTAAGGGTTTGTTCTGTATCAGGCACTGTTGGAGCACCAGGAAAACCATGGTAAAACCAAAGTTCCAGCTTTTGGGAACCTCAGATTCTTTGAGGGGAGCCTCAGGTCCTCCGAGTGGCAGCCTGTGCTTTAACCCCTGCAGCACACAGCCAGTTCCAGTGGCCCTCTCCTCTGTGTGTCTCCTAATTGTCACGGCAACATTTGGTGAGGAAATAGAAACTGAATATACAGGGATCATTATACAAGGACTATATAACAAAAACAGTGCCAAATGTTCTATGTCCAAGAGTTCTATTATTATTGATATTATTATCCATAAATAACACTGAAGGGTATTTTAGGCATGATTTGGTGCAGGAAACAGAAATGACTCATCATGTTTTATTTATTTTTGGTGCCAGGGATCAAACTCTCATCCTTGTGCTTGCACAGCAGGTGGTGAAACCACTGAGCTAAATCCCCAGCCCTACCCATCATGTTTTAAACAGAAAAGGATTTAACTCATGGAATTAGTTGTTAATAAAATCCTTAGCAGAACATGGTCCTAGCACCACATCTTAGAAGCTCCTTAGAAGCTGTTGCTCTGAGTGGGTTCAAAAATGCACGGTCAAAGCTGTGGTGGAGAAATTAGGAAGCCGAACATGGCATTCAGCTTCCTGTCCATGGCAGTGCCTCTCAGGGTGCAGAAAGCTGGGGGATGAACCCAGCAATATTGCTACCAGGAAACACCACATGGAATGACTGTTTGCAACAGAATAAGGCAAAAATCACGGGACTTGCCTCCCAAATCTCACGCAAGTATACTAAATTGGAGCACTCGATTTTAGGGAACAAAAATTTCAGCTTTCCAAGGTACACAGGAGAGAAAAACATACTAGAAGAACAATGAAATAGAAGTGAATCAACCAGTTGACCGTTGTTACCCCACAAGTTACCATGCTAATGGATCACTGTGACCCTAGTCAAGCCTCACCTCCAGTATGTGCCTGGTACAATAAATAAATGCATGGTGGGTATCGTAAGAGTGAAATTTCCTGTCTTTTAAAATTCTGTTTTAAAAGTTTTTCTTAAATGATGCAGAGTTGGTTGGTTGGTCACTCATTTCAAATATAAACTCCTATTATTGGCTCATATTCTTGTAAAGTAAATTTTTTTTAATGGGAGGAAGCTAGATTTTCCTCTTTCCTTTGTTGGACAATGTATTTCTGCTTCAAACCCCCATGGCTTTTGTTTCCTCCAAGGAGAAGTGTTCTGACTTTGTTTATTTTTAGAAATTGAAGGCTGCATACAGAGAATGATCTTAAAAACTGGAATCTCAAAAGAGAACTTCCAAGCAATGGTCTTTATCCCAGGATAGCAGCACTTCTTAGTAGGTTATAAAAGTATAGCCCTGTAACGGGTCAGCCTCTGATGTTCTTTGTTTGTCCGATACATTAAACAGCATTTTCAGGACTACATTTCACTTTCTTTCCCTATGGCAGTTTGACAGCGAAATTCATCTGCCCTTAAGGAGAAGTTAGCCGAATGTTTTTCTTACATAAACTGAAACTAAAAATTAGAATTGGCACTAAGTTGTATAAATAGAATAGTATTAAGAGAAACAGATTCAAAGAATGTTTTTGAGGAAAACAGGATGTCACTCTCACTAAATACACTGGACTGGCTCCCTGCCTTTCACTTATAAAATGGGCCATTTTCTTTCTACCTTTGGATGGGCCATCCTTTTCTTCTATAAACCAAGACAGAACTTCCTCTAGATTCACAAATCCCACGTTTCCACCCCTCCAAAAAAATAAATATAACAGCTCCTGAAAACAATGGGCCTCTCTCCCTTTTGAGGGCACACACTATTTCTTAAAGTGTGGTTTTTTTGGTTTGTTTGTTTTTTTGGGGGGGGGGGGTGGTACCGGGGATTGAACTCCGGACCTTATACTTGTGAGGCAGGCCTCGGAACCACTGAGCTAAATCCCCAGCCCTAAAATGCGCATTTTAAAAATTCTGCCTAATCCTCAATAA